GCGCAGAAGCACAGCCAAACAAGTTCCTAAAGCATACGCCAATGGAACCTGGGCTTTCGTTGCGAAGCGGCGAACTGGTGTTCGTTAGTGCCCCGCAATCGCCAGGCCCCTCCAAGTGACGGGTCATTGTAGGGGGTTAGCTTGAAAAATAAAAAAATGCATGCATCGTCGTCCAGCGCAGTGTCCTCGGGAACAAAAGTCAAGGCAATAAACAAAGAAACGGGGGGGAGCTCAAAAGGAATCGATACCACTTGTTTAGCCTATCCGTTTGCACATTTTTTCCCCTAACTTTTTCTGCAGCTTGAAGGCATTTTTTAAAAGGCATTAATCATTCCTTTGGACTAGAACAAAAACAAAAACAACTTGATATCGTGAGAACTTCTCACTTCCTAGCTAGTTTTGTACATCACAGAATCAAAAAAAAAGTGCGTGCAACACATACCAATGATGTTCGTCAATATAAATGAACGCATCCGTAAAAGGAGCCGTGCGCACTTTTTCACATTAAGTACCGTCCTTTTTCCTTGTTTTGCTGTTATTTATGTCGTCTGCGTGCGTCTGAGAATAATGCACTTCACCAGATATGTCTGGCAGAGTGCATCGAATTTTGTGCCCACATGCTTAATGAAAAGGCAAAAATTTCCCCGCATTGACAGTGAACTCTGGGTGCTCCAGAGCAAGCGTCCAAATGAAACGTGCACTGATTCGCCCTGGAATCCTCTTCTAGCTGTAGCTCATAGCTTGAATCACTTGACTCCTTGGACAACACTTTCCAGTCGACTTTTGCAAGGTACCAAAGCATTGCTGGGGCCTCCAGCATTAGTCCATCAGTCAGGCCGCCAAGAATTCCGGCCAGACCCCAGTCAAAAAGACAGGTAAGCAAAGGCTCCAAAGGCAACCCAACAAACCACAAATAACTGATTAAAATATTCGCACCTTTTTTTTATGCCCCATTCCACCGAAAACACCCTGAAACACGTACTGGGTACCATCAACAATGTGTGTAAGTGGCACTATCCAACGCACAGTATGTGACACTTCCAATGATGTTTCGGCCACTACAAATAGACCAAGGATATTGTCAAAAAAGACAAAGATAATAATTCCATTCAAGGAGGATATAGTTAGGGCAAAAGCGGCCGCGGCAACAACGTATCCCCAGGCACAAAATGGAAGTGCTGCACCCAGGCTCGAGCCTATTCTAGCAGAAGCTGCTGTGCTAGTTCCCCCAGAAATAGAGACGAACGTAAAGAGGCTACTGAGAATTGCAGAGTACGCGGCCACTTCCGAAGTTCCAAGCGTAGCCAAAAGCAACATGGCAACATCAAACGCGGACGCCTTAGCAGCGACGAAGAGAGAACTGGGTATTGCCAAGCCAATATATTCTTTCAAGCCATCCCGCTGCAGAGCTTCTCTTATACGGAGCTTGCCCAGCGTTTGTCGCGTCGATTGCAAAAGCACTACCAGAGCAACCAGCACTGCAAGCTGCACCCAAGCCACGATAACCATTCCCGGCATGGCACCATGGACACCGCCTTCAGCAAAAAAGTACTGAGCTAGAGGCGTCACAACAAAACCAACTACAAGAGCGGTCATGGGCAATTGAGGCTTAAGCTGGTTGAGGGCGAATTTAGAAAATGTCGTGAAGTTCACCAATAGAATGATAACCAGGGGGTCCAAAGTTCATGAAATCACAGGCAATTTCCGCCGTCCTCTCCCCGTAGATTATTGGTAGAGCACTTTGTAGCAAAAAAAGGAATATGTTGACAGGTATCACGAATAAAATACCAACAGCAACGCCTTTTTGAAGGATAATACCGGTTCATCACTGCATGGATCCCTACCGTAAGCCTGTGAACAAAGTGCGTCCATTGCAAACGTCAATTCACAAAGCTGATATTGGGCAAAAATTGAACCAATGAAATGTCCCACAGAAGCACCAGAGAGGGAATTATGACCTAGAAAAGCGCCGATAAAAGCCAATGACACCACTGCCAGACCGAAAGTTAAAGCAATACTCATAGCGGAAGGCAAGTCCAGTGGGATCAGACCAAGAACAATCCGACACCAACTCAAGACATCATCATCCAATTGAAGCTCAGAGACACAAATCTCATCCGCAGTCGATATGTTGTCGTCGACTGGCAGCGGTGGTTCAGGGAAACTTGCATCTTCGCGTTGAGACCCTGTCGCTTTAATGAGTGCGTTGCTTACAGCGGCATGGGCTACTCTGTCGTGGCGCTCTTCACTCGCCATTTCCCATTTATCCGAGCTTCCCTCACAAATTGCTCCCATGCTTTTTTTGCCTGCATCTTCCACGTTAAGGCACCAACGACAGAACAAATCATTGTGATAGCAAACGTACACACAAAAGAGTGATCAGAGCAGCACGATAAGAAAGCGTAGGTAAGCGAATACACAGTATAATCTTTTTTTTTGATAATGGTGATGAAAGGCGCACGCATAATAACAATAACGGAATCAGTCCAATAATAATAATAAACTTTTTGTACTGCTGCTGAAACGGAGATTTGCTTCTCGGGGAAAGACAAAGACAGAAAAGAAAAAAAGAACTCTCTGATGACGCCGTAGGCCGCTCAGAAAATGAGGATGCCGACACCTGGAACAATCCTGCGCGTCGCAGGCCCATTTTGGGAGGATGATTTCCTTCCACTTTTTTACGTGCGGCCAGGGGCCTCCTCAAAACCCTCGGTGGCTGCCTTTCTTTTGTATGTGCATGTGTGAGGGCTGAACGGCGGCGGCGTCGCGACCGCGCGCCTGCTTATTAGTTGCGAGCATCTGCTGTAATTGCTGCAACTGAACGGTATCTTGAAAAAAACCCCAATGGTTATTCCACCCCGCTTTTCATGACGGGGTGGAGCTAAGAGCAGGGAATGCAGGATTTATTTTGTCCCCCACCGCGGCCCTTCTGCCGCAGCACGAGTCGTCCCATTATTTTTTTGGAGGAAACCGCGGCAACCGCAGTTTCGCCGCCGTGCGAGGAAACAGAAGATGAACCCGGGCCACTCCCGCATTCGTCTCCTCTCCGAACAAGTCGCCGAAGCGTGCCGACCACAATCTACGCCTCGTTGGGCACATTAAACCGCGGGCAAAGGACATTTTAAGCCGAAGCAAAGAAGGCAAAACAAGGAAAATAAGGGCCCGTCCTCATCCAACGGACGAGGGAAAACGCCCACATTGCCGTTAGGGGCGGGGAACGGCCCAGGGCTCGGGAGACCGAACAAACCACGAAGGAACCGAGCCAGTTGTTTACCAAAATCGGGCCCGGGTGCCTCCACCCCGGCCAGGCCGGCGGGCCGCCCGGGAGAACAAGTGCCCGGCGCCTCCTCACGCACAAGCTGCTTCTGAACCACGGCGTGTTTTTTGCGTGCCTTGCCGCGCCCTTGCCGCGGAATCTGCCGACGTGGGCGCCCGGCGACGAAGGTTGAGGGGCGGTGTGGGCGCCGTGTGCGGCTTGCGCCGATGGATCTTCGGCGTTGGCTCCGCGGCGTCCTCTCCACGATCATCGCATGGTTGTTTTTGTGGGGGCGCTGCCGCCGGACGCGGCCAAACGGTCCCTGGGCGTTACTCGCGCCGCGCGCCGCGGACAGATGCTTCCGGAGGGCGTCGCGGAAATCACAAGATATTTTGCCAGCGGGTGCGGAGAAGGCGTTCCTCCGCATCTTCTGCTATCTTCCTTCGTCTGCTGGGGATGGATCTCTTTTTCCCGACGGGACTGGCAAGTCTGTTGGGCGAACGCCCCGCATGTGCCGGGGGAGCCGCCACGACGCACGCCGCTTCCACCGCGCTCTCTCAGGGCCATTCCGCCCTTCCCCTGCCGGGCCCCGTCCTTTCCCTGGACCGGGACCCGGTTGGGGGCCATCTCGCTGAAGCGGCAACCGCTGACCGCACACGGCCGGGAGCAGAAGTGTCGCTTCGATACGGCGCGCCGCCCTCACGTGACGAACAACCCACCCGACATGTTCGGCCCGCAAACAGCAGGGGCATTTGAGACGCCACGAGCCCTCCATCTAGGCGAAAGTGGCTGTATTTCGCGGTCGCGGCGGGATGGGAATTCCAGACTGGAAGCGGTCTGGGTGGAGCTTTCGAGCATGCGCACGCGGTTCCGGCTGGGGGCCCACGCGTGTTTTGGAACGCACGGGCACTCTAAGCGATCAGGGTGGCCGCGAGAGAACCCAGTTCACCACAGGAGCCTTCAGGGCGTGTTGGCTGCGGCAGTGGGCCTTTGCGCCAATTGAAGTGGAACTGCGCGCGGCAGCGCTTGCCACAAGCGGGGCATCGAAGGTCGAGGGCGCGCCGATGGACGCGCTCTCGCGGCGGCGGCCGGGGTTGTGGAGGAGGCGCCGGGGTTCTCGCGCGCGGTGCGGTGCGGGCCTCGCGAATCGCACTCACACTTGGGGGGCGGCCGTATCGTGTGCTTCGTCGTCACGTGCGCACCCGAAGCGCCTCCCCACC